TTTTGTTGTTTTGTTTTATTTATGTCGTTTAGTTTTTGTTGTTTTGTTTTAGTTGTCATTTTATTTAGTTTATGGTTTTTGTTGTTTTATTTTGTTTATTCTATTTTAATTTTTTTATGTTGTTTGGTTTTGTTGTTTGTTTTAGTTGTTATTTTGAGGTTCACTTTTTGCGCTTCAAAATGTCGTTTTGCAAAACAAAGTTAGAACATCGTAATAACACTAAATAAAAATTTATTTCATGTCTCCAATAAACCTGAAAAACATAACTAGATTAGCATGAAACTATGTTTAAATTTATCAATTTTATTGGTTGAATAAATTGTTAAATGACCCGCTCAAGATGTTAATGGCTGTGTCATCCCGGGGCCGTAAGGTATTTTAATCGTATTCAAACCTACTTTAATCGGAAGATTCTTATCAGCAACCACAAATTGTGTCGTCCAAGATATCTTCATAGATTAGAAAACAAATGTTTAAATTGCATTCGATGATCTTTGTTCATTAAGGTTCAATATAAGTTTTAATGTCTTATACAGATTTTAGGAGTTGGAAAATTTTATGTTGTTTATGATATGTTAATCAATTAAATTTGGTCATTTATTTATTTTTACCCGATCAACATCCCATGGTTTCGTCATTCCAGTGAATTATGTTTTTGGTTTGATTAGCCACAAGTGACTAGAAGATATTTTTGTAGAAACCATGGGTTTCGTCCTCCAAAATATATTCTCAAACCTAGTTGTATTTTTATATTCATGTTTAAGTCTTAATGTCTTTCAAAGTAAGATTTATGTCATTTGTGTTTATGATTAGGAGTTGATGAGTTAAATTTTTGTGTCATTGAGTTAGATCATAAATTTTTAACTCATGATGTCATTTATTTTAGGTTTTATGTCAATTAGACCTAAAAAAGTTTGAATAAGGTCTAGTAGATTAGAACTAAGATTTAGGTATAATGTTGATAAAAACCTAAGGATTGATGTCATTTTGGTTCAATTTGGATTGAAACTAAGGTTGAAATAGTTTTAATTCCAATTAGGTAGAACCTAAGGTATGAAATATTTTAGGTTCAATGTAGGTAAATCATAAAGTTTAAATTGCTTTAAGTATAATGTAGGTAAGACTTAATATTTAATATTATTTAGGTTTAATTTAAATAGAACCTTTGGATTGGAATAGTTTTAGGCCCAATTTAAGTAAGACCCAAGATATGAAATGGTTTAGGTTCAATGTAGGTAGAACCTAAGGTTAAAGATAGTTTAATTTCAATGTAGGTAAAACTTAAGGTTTAAGATGGTTTAAGTTCAGTTTAGGTAGGAACTAAGATTTAAGTTTGTTTAAGTCCAATTTAGGTAAGACCTAAGGTATGAAGATGATTTAGGTTCAATGTAGGTATAACCTAATGCTTAAGATGATTTAAATCCAATGTTGGTAGTGATGCGGGTGGGGGTGGATTTAGTGTGTTAGCTTTGCAAATATTTTTCAATATAACAAAATACACATTACAGATACAATAACAAATATACAAATTAATCCCAACAAAATAACTTCAATTAAAATAGTTTTATTATTTATTAATTTTTAAACTGCCAAATCCACTTTAAAAAAAATGCAAGTGTACGTATCGCTCAATTAATAAAGGGCTTTAATGGAGTCCTAAATATCGATCCCACAAGAAAGTTGGAAATGCCTGTAAATAAGTTCTTAAGATTATAATGTCAAGTACTATTTTAAAACTACAAAAAGTAAAGTACAAAGTTTGAATACTAAGTAACAAGTGAATGCTAATTAAAATGCAGTTGAAAGACAAAGTTAGCTAATCTAAATGTTAAAATTTCAAAAGTGAATTTACAAAAATTAAAACTACGATGTTGTGATGGAAAGTTTAAAGAAAGTATCCTTCCTTTTTACAATGAGTATATGGTAAAATCATTTGAAAATATATATAACAACTGTTTTGTGTCAAATAGGAGCAATCATATTCTTTGCCCTCTTCTAAGTGCATAAAGAGCATTGACTAATCCTGAGTTTGGTTTATAATTCCATGGTTAGGTTGGGAGGATACTGGCTACCACTTTGGAGCTCCCACTACTCCCTCCCCTGAGGGCTAACAATCTCACATCAGTTTCCAATCAACTGACCCAAATTGGGGATTTTAATCTGTCACCGTAAAATCTCCAATTCTGCTTCCAACAAAGTATATTTCTCTATTTATTTGCACCCAATTCATGGATGAAATACTCTCCCATGAAATCAAATGTGATTCTCCCCATGTTGTAGAAATCATAGCTTTTTCGGAATATATGTTTCTCAACACATTTTAACATTCAATATGCTAAATTGAAAGGTAAAAGAGGATTGGAGTTCAAATCATCACAAATTATTGACATTAAAATCATATAAAACAAAATCGATTCGTCACAAAACCATATCTTACAGTAGGGAGAAGGATAAAGAAGACTACTCAAAATTCATGAGAAAGATACGACAAAACACAGATTTCATATATAAAAACAAGTTTACAAAACAAAAGGAATAAAAGACACAACTTATCTCACAATACTTCCTAAGCAAACTCCTAGAAGTTCTCTCCAAGTCTTTCTCTCTTTATAAGTACTCTCAATTCTCTCTTAGAAGTGTAATGAAGAAGAATCTCCCATCTTCCCTCTCCTCTTTCAATCCTTGAAGAAAATTTCCAAGCCCTTGACTTTCTCTCTCTCTCTTTAACTGTCCCTTATCACGCCACACACCTCACACCCAAAACTCCTCTCCTTTCAAGCTCTATAGTTCTCTTTCTTTTATCAAAGGCTGCCTCTTCCCATAAAAAATTCAAAATTCCCCCTAAATTTCTGTTCAAAAGTCAATTATTTTGATTACAAAAAACATGTCCATTGATCTAAGAGACATATCCCTTCATAAAAGAACATTCCAAAGTTTTTAGATGCATTAAATTACTCCAAGGCATGTTTAGAAAAATAGTCCCTTTAAAAATTTGCGTAGAATTCATCTTAAACCGCCTTAATATGCAAAAAGTCAACCTTGGCGCATCTGGCGCCAAATCTGGCGCATTATGCGCCAACACTGTATCATCTGCGCCAGTTTGTTGAAGAGTGCGTTTTTCTTGGTTTTGGCGCATCTGGCGCCAATTCGACACATTTGGCTCCAATCCGGAGCCATTTTGTCACATCTGGCGCCAATCTGGGCAATCCGGAGCCATTTTGTCACATCTGGCGCCAATTTGGTGCATCATACGCGAGAATTCGAAACTTCACTGTTTTGGCTCCAAATTTAGTTGTTTTTGCTAATTTTGTTCCAAATGCCTAAATTTGTTATGTCTACAACAAAAACATGAAAATATCATTAATTAAAGTGCAATATATTGTTGACTATTCCTAAAGGACTAGTAAAGGAACCCTCATCATTAGAAACTCTAAACTCTTCTTTGCTCAATTTGAATTTCTACATATTGGTCATAACCTCTAAAATTTACTAGGTGAGGCCAATATGGGGTACTCGAAAAGAGTCCCCATAGGACTGTTTGGCCTTAGGGTGGACCCTGGGTGGTGTGGCTTTGGTCAGTTACACACACACACACAACCTTGATACCCCCCCACTTACACTCACAACCTCAAGGTTTAGTCAAATATGCTTAGTTGGTCCCTTAACTTGTTGAGAAACTCATGTTGATGGTCCCCTAGACCACTAGCCCTAGACTAGGGTTTAGATGATACAAGTACATGGAGGACCCAAAGTAGGGAATTCTATTGGTCCATGGCTCAAGTAGGGTGATTGTGTGGTTGGCAACCCCAATCCTACTTAATTACCCAATTTAGCCTTTTGCCCCAAAAACCTACCCCAATTTACGAAACTACCCTTGAAACCCCAATTTTGACCAAAATCCCAAAAATTACGCAAAATACCCAACTATGTTCAGAAATCATTTCAAACCATTTGAACCCACCCAAATTGCTTAAAGCTCAAGAGTTTTAAAGTATCTTTTGAGAATCTTTCTCTTCTAGTTGGCCATAGTTCTAACTATTGCCAAGAAGGTGAACTACGATAGTGAGTTTGATTAGTCAGTTCATCAGATGGAAAGGGGAAGCCAGTTCGGCTAGCTAGTGAGCTAAGTTTGTCTTACATGTCAACTTGACAGCTAGTGTAAGACAACTGACACATTGCGGTCGTCTTAGCAAATCACTCTGATGACAATCGCGTCTTCTGGATAATCTGGTAATCAGGCCCAGGGAGCCTGCTAGACGCGGGCTTTGGCTCATGAAAGTTGATTATTGGTTGACAAATATAAATATATAATGAAGTGGATTTTGATTGATTTGAATCAACTAATGTAAGACCATCTCATCAAGCCATCAAAACGACTTAGCAATTTCTTTCATTTAGCATTTCTCTTGTTAAACTTTTTGTCAAATAATTTGAAAAAATATGAAGGTTAAGCTTGGAAAATTGTCAATTTATGTGTATTTTTTGACATTGCAAGCATTCGATTGGAATAATATAAAAACTTGCGCTTTTTATGAGATTAAAACTCTATTTCGTCATACATACCACGGAATTCTAATGTATTTATATCTGACCTAACGCAAAATCTTTATATTTATCTATATAACACTCTAAGATACATAAAACAGATCAATGGCAGTAAATTATCTAAAGTGGAAAATATCATTTCATGTGTATATTTAAACGGGTTTTAAATGCCAGGATGTTATCAAAATTTTCTAATATTGAAATAAAAATTAAATATAAGGATTTAATTCATAGATACACTTATAGGTTAAAGATAACGTTGGTTGGTATAGTAAGAGGCAAAGAGCATCAGAAATTCCATTTCACTCTCTGAAAAGACGATTAAAGTCTGATCATTTTGGTTGGAAGCTAGCCCGCTTTTTATATGATATCTTTATTAAAACGATACTAATTTATAAGAATCAAATGCTATAAAAAAATGAAATAAAGCTGATGACGTATTTTCTTTCATGTCATGTCTGAATTCTCAATATTATTGAAACTAAGAAAATATGCTCACATTACAGAAACAAACATTCTTCTCTCAACACATCCATGTGAAGCCTATAATTCATCAAAACCATTAAGAAAACGCTTACTTTTTATATCTGAAGGCTGACACCTGAAATGCAAATTATAAACCGCAATAGGAACAAGTTATTCTTTGCCTACTTCTGCAGAAAAATTCTGCTTTGTGATATGATAGTACTTTCAGAAATGCCAATTGCCGAGCAAATAGAAGGAAAATATTTTCCTTCTTTTACTTTCTTCTTCTTCCTCGTCTTCTTCTTCTTGATATTACCGGCATCAGATTCCTCTTTCAGTTCGAAACATTTGCCTTCTGAAGCTTCATCTGTCATCTTCAATGATTTGATTCGCTGTGAGCTCTTCCAGTCACCAACATCTACTTTTCTGAAGTATTCAATCTCTTGTGAGATGAGGAATCCAATGGTTCCTTGTGCTCCTACCTCCAATGGAGATGCCATTATAAGAAAAACTCGGAAGGTCTCTGATGCAATCAATGGAGGTTTAAATTAAGCATCAGGCTTTAGGGGGATACATAGAATGAGGACTTTCAGATGGATGGATAGACAATATCTGAATTAGAAGATAAATACTCATCAGATGTAGTTATTTAGTTGAAAAAAAAAATTAACACGAAGGGTCCATTTTGATCAAATGTGGCTATCCGTCAAAATAGTGGTAGAAACATTACAAACAAAATAAATCTGCAAAAAGCAATGTGTGTGCGTGCCTATATACATACATACATATATAACTTTATAGTCATTAATTGTAGATGTGGTTGCGGAAAGTTAACTCTATTAAAAAAAAATTACATTTTATGCTTGCATAGTGTTGTAATGTGTTGACACAAAAAAAAATCAATATAAAGTAAAATAGAATAAAATGTAAATTAAATATTTAAAATATTTGCAATCTAATAATGCTTGATAATTTCCTGGTGGCATCGATGGGTTTAGATTTTTCTGGATTGGTGGTGACAAGTGCAGCTTTCGCCTCAATAATTCATAATGATGGAGCATTTACAGCCTGAAATTCTGGTTGAGCTTTGCCTTTAGTGTGGTGGTCCCATAGATATAATGAATGGATGAAATTTTAATTCAAAGTATTAGTTAGAATTATATACACATATATTTGTATTACGATTCATTTTATATGTGTATATGTATGATATTTGTGCAACTATGTGCTATATACATATAAAGAAGATTTTCATGCATACAACATAATTTCTATGTATTTACATATTTAACATTTAGATTCCAATTTTTAAATATATGTCATCTATGACATTGTAACTATACATGAAAAGGTGTATTTAATTTTCAAAAGTTAAAATAGTTATACATTTTATGTTATATTATAAGTCAAGAATGTGTTAGCACGAATCCCGAGAGGATTCAATTGTCCAGAATGGAGTAAGTATAACAGAGGTCCCATCGAGAGGAGAATAAGAGGCCCCACTTATCCAATTAGAAGTAGTCTTTCAGGCCAAAGATGAAGACTAATCGAGCCAAGAGAACGATAAAAAAAAATGATCCAAGTCTAAGCCAATCGGACTAGAGCATGAAAGATAAGCACATGAGCTAAATTGCTCGTCGAAGACAATGACCTACTTCTTGGTAGATCTGACCAATGAAATAAACTAGTTCCTCCCCACCACAAGAAATCTCAAGGACGTCCCTGAGGTTCTTCATTAAGAACGAAGAATTGACGATTCGTTAGAGTATCACCGTCATATTAAAGGGCCCTCTCATCAATGAATGAGTCATCTATCGAGTTATGATGATTCACCCTTTAGTCGATAACCTAGTATTACTCTGTCAATAATAACAACCTTCATAGGGTTCAAGGGTTGATGATCACAGAAGAGCATCCAACAAAAGCAGTTCTGCGGACCCAAAGCTAATCAAGATTAACCAACTAGCTGAACCGACTCAACCTCACCAAATCGACCTTATAGAATCAAAGCCGTGCTAGCTTCGCTGACCAAGTCATAAGGCAACTAAGCAATAAACTCGTAAATATAAAACACCATGAAATTCTATATTGGCCCACATTAAGGCAGAGATAAAAATGTAATATAACATATTGTGGCCTCTCTTCTTTAAATTGGGATATCATTTTATGAGAAAGAACTAATCAATAATACGTTTTGTCATTCATTGTATGTATGTATGTATACATTGAGCTTTTTGCCCTCTCTCTTATTTATTATGATCTAACCTCTAGAGTGTGAATCACATAATATCTAGGATTCAACATCTTAAAAGATGTGGTGAGTGTGAATCATTCATAGACAATAAAAGGAGTAGCGCAAGGAGAAAAACACATAATAAAGACACTGATAACATAGAGTGCACTAGAGAGTTTGTGAAACCATAATCCAAGAGTTGAAGGAAAATATGTTGGATTGTATCCGAGAGGCAATAGCTTAAAGAATGGATTTATTTCCCCAAGAGGAAGTGCTTGCACCTAATGGCTAAAGAGCCCCTTTAGGTTTCAATGGAGAAGGAGATTCCCAGTACTTTGATAGCGTTGGGTCAGTAGGGATCGATAATCATCGATTTGGGCACACTAAAGAGTTTCTCAGTAAGAAAATGCATTCTCTCAACAAATCTCTCTGGCTAAGCCCTCATATAGGTTTAAAATTCCTGCACAAGAATCCAAGAAGAGTCGAGTTGATCTAACCAAACAATTAGCCTCACTTGAGTACACCATATGCTTGTTAAGGATCAGCAAAGCACTGAAGTGTCATTTTTTTCTTCAAGTAATCAAACCGTCACGGAGTACAATGACTTACCACAAATAATGATTGCCTGATTAGCTAAATTGAAGCATATTTTTTTGGCACAGTTTGCGAACGCCCAAAAGAAGATGAAGTATTTGTAAACCCTCTTGCAGATCTGGCAAGGGAAGACTGAGAGCATCCACGCATTTATCACCCCTTCAAAAAAGAGATTCTAAAAGTGTGGCATTTGAAACATGTTGTATTACATGACGCCTCGCTGGAGGAATAAAAGAAGCACATTTTTTTCATGCTTTGGGACTGTAGTGACCAAAGACATTGGCTTAGTTGCTAGAGTGGAAAACAACCATATCTTTGTTGAAGAGTACAATTCCACCTCAACTTCTTCTAGAGGATAATCTTCCACCTATCACCTACAAAGGAAAAAGGTTCCCAATGACAATAGGTGGAGATCGAGAAATAACTCAGGCTCTTTTGCTCATTTGTGATAGAAAGACATTGATCATCATGGAAACATATGGGGACATACATATCTCATAACCGAGGAGGTCAGGTTAGATATCCTAACTAGCAGTGAACCTGCAATAGCTAGTGTATGTGGCCCAACCATAAACTACCATAAATGTCTGTTGAGATTCTCGATGGTCGGCATAGTGAAAGTCATCCAAAATACAGAGTACTTCAAGAAATTCACACCAATGAAGATTGGAGCTTACCAATGGGATCCAAAGAGCTATTGTGCATACCATCAGGTCCATGTTCAAGATATAGAGGAATTTCAACACATTTAGAGCCTAGTCGAGAAGTTGACTAGAGCTAAAAATGTCAAATAGTTTGTAGCTCCAAGAGAACCTACCCAGAGGCAAGGAAAAGTTTCAATGAATGAAATTTTGGATGAACGTATTTGATCCCATGTTCTCCATATTGTTAACACAATTCATGCCATCTTGGGTGGAGGAGGTGATTCATCTCACCAAGCCAAACTAAGGAGGATTTAGTCAAGCAAATTATGTGCAACCCCCATTGCGCGTAGAAGCAACAACTACACCTTCATTACTTTTACTAATGTAGATCTGCCCCCGAATGAAATCCTTACAATGATTCCATTATTGTAATGACACATGTAAACAACTAGTAGATTGGTAGTGTCTTTATCTACATTGGCATCTCGATAAACATTTTACTTAAAGCAGTGTTTGAGATGATGTGTCTCAAAAATGACCAGCTAACTGTAATCATGGGCACACTCTATGGATTCTCTGGAAAAAGGAATGAAGCCTTATAAAATATTGTTTGAAGGTTATCTAGTGATAAAATAATAAGCAGTGCAAGAACATGGAGGATTTTTTGTTGTTGACTCACAACTGACTCATAATGTTATCATTTGTCGCCTTTGCTCAATAATTTTAAGGTTGTTAATTTGATGTACCATGTAATGTTAAAATTTCTCTGCAATGAAAAGGTGATCACCATTTGAGGTAACCTCGAGTAATCTCGCGCCTACATCAGAGATGTTGGAAGTATCGAGCAGAAGCCACTCAAGATCATGAATTTATGTGAGTGAGGTCTTGAGACTAACAAAGTTATTCATTAAGTTCTAGCGATTGAAAGTGAGCTAAATATTTTTTTCTTAATCGGTGAAATTTTTCATGTACGGTGGAGAAAATGCTGATCATAACCTTCTGAGACAACCAAGATGTGTTTGTTTATTCTGCAGCTAAGATGTCATGTATTCCAATCAGTGTCACATGATATTGTTTGAATCTCATTTCTCTAGCTCAGGCAATGAAGCAGAAGATGAGGTCATTAAATATTCCTCTGGCCAAGCCAATTCGGGAAGAAGTTTAACAGTTATATGAGGTTGGCCACATTCGAGAAGTCTAATATCTAACTTAGGTGTCGAGCGTGATAATGGTGCATAAGCCAAATGATAAGTAAAAGATATGTGTGGTGTTCACAAATTTAAATACCACCTGTCTGAAATGTTGCTACCTTTTTCTTGGACTGATGATCTCATGGATTCTGTGGTTGGCCGCTTAGTAATGAGCTTCCTCGAAGCATTTTTGGCCACTAACATAAATAAACTTTATGTTCTTTTACCCACTTTTATTGCTACATTTTACCTACTATTTTCCTTTATTTATCATGAATTTACACTTATGAAAAGTTTGTTTTATATTATACAAAATATTGGAGATCATGCATACATTTCTGAGCGAGAAAAAACTAATGAAAGGCAGCCAAAAGCTGCATGACCATGGCACCCTATCAAACCTAGCTGCGTGACCACACCAAAACTATACGTGACCACGCTGCCTCTTTATAGGTTAGCTGTGACCATGTTGAGATGAAATGTGACCATGTTTCTCAACCCTTGTGTCTGGTGTGACTACACCAAAATTTAACATGACCACGTTGTAGGAGCGGTAAATGTTTATAGAAGGAACTTTATTGCTAAATCAAAGATCTGGACTATGAAGGAAGTTGTTAGGGCCTTTTGGAAAAAAATTAGACATTGAGAGGTAGCTAGAGATAAGATTATGAGGGTTGGGAGCTCTCCTTTGAAGATCTTCTTCCTTGATTAGGATATAGGTCCTGAGGGCTATTTCTCTTCTTTTTTCCATTGTATTTTTCTTAAGATTTTGGGAGAGAATTGTATAAGAGAAGGAATTTCTACTATGTAAGAGGAAACAATTCATTGTTTATGTTTTTTACTTTTTCTGTTTTGCATGCAATAATGACTCATATCAATTTATTTTTTGTAGTTCATTCAATTATGCATGAAAAATTTTCTTTTTCGCCCTCTGTAATGCATGGATTGTGGTTTTCGTGATTTTCTTAGTTCATTATTCTCTCAGTTTCATTTTCCTGAGGAAACAAGGTTTAGCATTATTATGTTAACCATAGATTTTCATTTACTCTTGATATGGACAATAAGAATGTTAATA